ATAAAAGAAAGCACTGGGAAACGGACGACGTCACGCTGTGAAGTTTATGATTGACACCAAAGAGAGTGGGAGATGTTTGTGAAGTTTGGGAGTTTTTCACTCCAACGAGAAATTCATGTCAATTATGTTAGTGTATTGAGAGAGAGGAAAAATCGATGGGTGTTTTCCCGTTTCCGTCAATTTTACGGGAAGGAAATTCCACCCCCTTTTGACAATCTCCCCACATTGCATTTCAGTGCAAGATTCATGACTTCTCTTGCGCTGTTCTGTGCGTATTATTGTGGGATTTGAGGGAGAACTTCAGATCAATTTCACATGAAATACACCCCATCAGAGTCCTGTGTAGATCCTGTCGCATTTGACGGTTAAAAGGGGAGTTCATACATGTAATGCACTCAGGAGAAAGTAAATATGAGTGTTCCCCAAGTTCGTGGCATTCGTTGTGCATTCATGTCGACCCTCAGCACTGCATAAATCCTTCGCCATCAACAGGAGCATAAAAGGCGATTGCAATTTCACCATTTTCCCATTCACTCGGTTGTGCAAAGAGCCCAATGATTTTACGTAGACTTTTCTCTCGCTCTCGTTTCGGGTCAGTCGAATGAGCTTCAAGATAAGATAACACGCCCCTCGAAAAGGTGAAGCACTCTCGTGCTTTTGCACACAAATAATCCTGGCGGAAAGTATAGGAAAAAAGGATTACTATGCATACATATCATGTACTTTCTGTATGCAAGAAGACATAAAATTTCCCACCATTTTATGTTCACTTTAAATCGAAAAGTGGCGTATTTTAAGCCTATCAATATTTCTCTTCAATTTAATTCAATCCGTCCAAGAAACAAGTATTTATTATACACGATTAATGAGATGCAAAAATGAAAAGAATTTTAATGCAGAAACAAATCTGCTTTTCCTCACTATTCTATCTGAGGACAGTCAGAGAAGAACTGTGAGAAATTATGATCCTTTTTGTTGCCAAAATCCTTAATCAGCTTCTGTTTAATATTCACTCCTTTTGGCTTTGTAATCCACATCACGCGAATAAATTAATTAGGTCCCTTCAAATATATTTCCACTTTCCTCTTTCTCTCTCTCTCTCTTCTTTTCACCGAGAGGCTTGAAAAGGAAATGACGACCATGGAAAAACCATGAAATTTCTGCCCTCCATCGAATTCCGAGCGCAAAAAGGGGAGCCCTCAGGATTTCATTAAGCATTGTATCAAATTTTCCTTTTAAGCCAACCCTCGGGAAATCGATTTGCAGTGCGGCGACGGCGGCAAAAAAATGGGTGAACCTGAAGTTGGGGTGACATAGTTTTTGCCTTTCAACCCCTTTGCTCTGAGTGCTGGCGATGTCCTTTATGGCCATCGAAATGACTGGAAGTCGAGTCAACAACACGGGAACACAATCAGGATTGTGTGAAATGCTTTGAACATAATTTCTGAGGGATGCTTTTAATGACCACGAGCACTTGGCGGGTCAACAGAAAGAATGGCGCGTGAATGTTCATTTTATCAGTTGTATAGTGTGAATTGCGGTGTAGTTCTTATGTGCCAAGGAATGTTCGCTCGTCGAGCATAATTGATTCAATTACAAGACACAAAAGTGGAACAAAATGGAAAATCTTCTCGTCAATATTCCACTGGCATTCCAACTCTCAGCCAAAGGTAGCTTTTCAAGGCGCAGAACGTGTTCGACAGTTGAAATTAAAAATCAGTGAAGTATAGGAATTAATGAGGGGAATTTGAATATTTTCCACCGTCAAATGGGCGAAAAGTGTAATTGTTAAGCTCTCGGTCGATGGCTGAAGCACAAGAAAATAACAATCAAGACGTAATTACTATTTCTGCTGACATCGACGGCAAGGCGCAAAAATTCAACGCCAAGGGGATGAAATGGGAATCGAGGGTGAAAGATCCATCAACTTGCCTTGAGTGTGCCATCAAAAGTTTTCCTATTTTCCAGAAAGTATACGACGAGAAGTGTGAGACGCGAGACAGGCTGTGACAATCTTGCTGATGAGAAGCGCATTTGCATCTAAGAAAGAAAAAAAATCACCTATTGAACTGTGCGCATAATATTGAAACTTCCCTCGGTTATATTTGAATAATAAATTCATGACCATATTCAGAAGGGGTGAATATATTGCCTAATTGGCGCATTGAAGTGATAATTGAGCCAATTGCACATCTTTGTTGGGTGAATTTGATGAAAGAAATCAATCAATTCAGTGATTTTCACTTGAATTCTATTAATTTAACGTTATCAGATCGGGTTAAGCTCAGGTTTTGACCCTCAATCTTCCATCTGAGATAATTGCAATTCCACGTGCACCCCAAATTCGGTGGTGTTACGTGTCAAAGGAGGGTCTGACAGGGATTTCCTGGGCGAGAAAGTGTCTCAGCGTGCCATCATCATCGATATAGAGTCACACAATCGCCGGCGACCATCACAAGACCTTATTGTCTGGCTCTGGTGCGGGTTTCTCGCCCAAGAGAGTCGCATAGACAACAATTTCGGTGTGTGTGTTGTCTTGGAAACGCCCCTGCAATTTGCTCTTCTTCACTCCTTGGCACACAGCATTTGTAAAATAACATTTAGGATTTTCCCGCGTGAGCTTTAATTTCGCCCTCTCCATCCCTGCCGAAGACACTTCCAATAGTCCTATTGATGTCTTCTCCGGAGTGGTGAATAGGGGGAAAAAATTGAGGAGGGAATTGAAGGAATGCGAATGAATATTTACACACGTGAAAGGAGCGGATGCTGCGTCAATGCAAAATTAATAACACCATAAAGTAGAGGAAAAGAAAGTGGATTCATTCTCTAAGGACACACACTCACGCGCCAGGGATTTCCGCAAAGGCGAACGGAAGTCGGTGAGATTGTAATTTGAAATGAAAAGGCATCGGGAAACAAATAAAAAATACAAGTGCGGTATTTTCTTGTCGGTTGCCCCGAGACATTCCTCTCTCTCTTCGAGGGGATCGTCAGTGAATTGATAACATGCCAACGAGTGACTCTGAACAAAACCACTCGAGACACGCGCGAGGGTGGAAAGCTTCATGTGAATTTAATGTAATTGCAGTACTTGATACATCCTCATAGTTTAAGGGATATTTAATTGAATTAAGCTTCACATGAAACTTGCATATTTGCCATTTGATACGCACTTAAAGCATCTTCTCTGAGAATTCTTTCCATAAGTTATGAGAAGGAGAATAATATATTCTCATTAGGACAGCGTGAGGGTCGAATAGCATGATTTATCAGCGAAATTCCTCCAAGGGGAGTTACTAAATTGAAATGAACATTATGAGAGCTTTTCCGAGACGTATTTAAGCGCTTCATTTGTCAATCCATTAGCTCATCTTGGCTGTCTTTATTAATAATGAACACGAAAACAAGTTTTTTCTCGCCATACTTGTTGAATATTGCGAGCAAAAATGGTTAGACAGCATTTTTATTGTTTGCCTTTTTTGCAGTTTGACAGGAAAATAAGGGGATGTCTTTTGAAATATTAATGTGGCATTCTATTCCCTTTATAGGATAAGCTTTAAAGCTTCACAAAGCTCTTCCTGAACGAACTGAACTCTCTCATTTCTCACGTCTGGTTCATTTTCACATTTCAACAGAATTAAATTTAGCCAAGACGAGACGAGAATCTCTCTCTCTCGTCGTATTGAATTTCATGTGAAAGAGTGCAATTAGTTTAATTAGAAGTATATTGTGTCTGGACATTCAGTACAGAACTTCCTCCGTTCGCACACAGAATATTAGTTGGCAGTCATTTTGCCAAAACGAACCATTTAGCGAAGCAAATGGAAAACGGAAGGCCAAAATGTTTGGATGTTGAACAAGCCAATTACCCCGAGCCGAGCAAATATTACCGATACGCCATCTCGAAATGATGTTCTTGTTATGCCTTTCCTATACGTTACACAGGCTTATAATCCAATTCTACTTCTCCCCAATTTTTCCATCGGGAAATAAATCACATTCCATTTGCCACTCACATACTTAAATACGCATATAAAATCATTTACAGTCACGCGAGCTCTTTCCACAGCTTTTCCACCTGTGTTCTGTTGACTCTGCTACAATCGCTTTCGCATTATCCGCCACTCATCTCGATGGAAATTGACGATTTGACACGCCCGAAAAAATGGTTGAAGCTAGTAATTATCCAGTGAAATTCATTCCATATCACTTTTCACCAATGGCGATGCTTTTGATGTGGAAATTGTGCAAAATACAGACTCGCTAAAAGCCCGAGATTATCATCCGCGTGAAGTGTGTGAACTTCCCCAATTTTATTGATGTGTCAGGAGCTGCTCCAAATATCCCCGTCAATTTGCCTATCTTTCGGTCTCTCACCCACGCAACACGTTTCCATCATACACAATTGTTTTCACCTGTAATTTCATCGTGGTGTGCAATTAAGGCGCACACTTGCTCTACGTGATTTCTTTGATGCTAACATCCCAAAAGCAGGCTGTAAATATCACTTTTCGAATCTCTGCCAAGCGGAAGTTTTAATTGAGTTTCAATGTTCTTTTGTGGTGAAATTTCGTTACAGCCACAATTCTTGCCAAAGCTCCTGGGGCTCTTCACTCAAGGCTGGTGGTTTATCTGCCTTTAAACCAATTTTCCAGAGATTAGATTAGATTAGATAGTTTAATTTTGGACTAAAGACAGTGAGAGAGAGCAGATTTTTCCGATAATCGTCCCTAATTAGAACTTTTATATCTCACAGTTCAGTTAGATAGACAAAAGTAAAGTTTCTTGGGAACTTTCGGCTCTCCTGCACCAAGAATTCCGTTTTGATAGCAAAAGTACACAAACTTTGTGTAAAACTGTGAACAATTCCTCATGGGAAATTAAGGTTATGCTGTGCTTCTTCTCACATTCACAGGTCTCCAAATGATTCCCACATGCAAATAACAAATGTGGTCAATGTGGCTTGAATTTTATTGCTAAAGTTGTGCAACTTTCCCCAGAAACACCTGACTGTGCGGTCCTTGACTGGTGGTGGAAATTGGCTGAGAAATTGCCATCATAATGCAGAAGCTGCGAGAACAAATGACACTCATCATTCCGTATACTTAATGCTCTGAGATCGACGTATCAAGAAGACTGCGAAGAGACTGATATGGCTGTCGAGGATTGCCAGTGAAACGAAGGATAAGGAAAGGATTCAGCGCGCACTATTCATTTTCACCCAATCATCCGCACATTGAATCCCATCACAAGCAATGTCTATCACGGGATCTCTGGTTGGTTACGAGAATAACAATGAGATTAGTGGCAAGAAGAATCGCTCACTGCTCAACATCACAAACACCTCCAAGCAATGTCCAAGTCTGAACTCTAGCATAAGCAACAGTGTCGTCACATCATCTAGCGCCAGGTAAATTCCACTTCGCAAGAAACTCTGCAACTTATTGTTAATTTGACTTCTTTCGCGAGCATCACTGGCGGCTGATTGAAATTCGCTCATGCATAGAAAACAGTTGATTTGCTAACTTGTCTACTTGTCTCTCTGGTGTCCTTTTGCAGCGCTCCCGCCAATTCCAAGCACACCAACGCGACGCCAATGGAGAGAAGAGCGTCGAACGGGAGACGCTGCCACTTCAATTCGCTCTGGTCCATTTGGTATGGCGTTCTCATGACGCTGATGACGGGATATCTCGCTGTTCAGGGTGCTCATCGATTTCTAGGTATGTTGTGAAATACACATCTTGTCTGGCAAGGGCCAAGGAGGATGTATCTCAAGCATTTCAACCATCATTTGATAAATGCTGTAATAGACAGACAGATAGAATGCAACAGTCACGATATTTCCTTCTCAATTCTCATATTTATTCAACTTCAAGTATTCAAAGCCTGCATATTAATGCTGAGAATTTTCACAGAAATGACAAATCTTAATTAAACTCATCCATTCTCTCCCTCCGCAGTTTGTTCACTGTTACAATGGAAATTGGATGCACCATCCGTCGAATTAAATATACAAATTATCCTTTGCGGCTTCGTCTTCCTCCTGCTGCCCATCTTCTTCGTCACCACAATCTTCAAGGTGAGGTTTGGGTGTCTTTTTCCACCACGGCAAGCATTTATGAATTTCACGGTAATTGCAGATCGGAAATCTCGCCAATGATGGCATCAAGCTGGCGAGCGGAGCAGGAAGGTGCTCCGTGGAGCCACCGGATGGTCTTGAGGAGGAGGCAAAAGGCGGGACGCTGAGGTAATAAGATTGCGGTTTGACATTCAATTTACCATCTCACTTGCCATCTTTCCATCGGTTATTAGGGCTCTGTGGACTCACGGTGGACCAACTTCGGCATTTCTGCACGTCGTGGCAGCTCTGGCCCTCCTCGTGCCGCGTCTTCTGCTCGAGGCACGCATGATTGAGAACGGATTATTGCCAAAAGGTAAGGAATGTCAGATGGAATTTTATCCCAAACGTGCGCGCGCTCTGATCAATTTCAAGGGGGAGAAAATTGTGGGGTTTAAAGTCACTGTCAATTTACCCAATGAGCTGCTTTCTGATGAAACGGATCAGAATGTCACGCTATCGCAATGCAATTTGACCTCTTATCTGTGAGCGTGAATCGCTGTGAAATTGCGTAAAGGATCAACTTATTGCCCCACATCTTGCCCATACCACAAATCTCCTTTGCCATTCATTCTTCGCCTCAGTGGAAATGGAACTTTTTCTCAACTTGAAAGATGGAAGAGGCATAAAATAATGGGGTGAAATGCGTTCAGTTGATTTATCATGCCGCCAGAAAGAAATCCCCAATGCTGGAGGCATCATAATAAATCACGAGACATTTCCTAATGGGCGCCTATTGGGAGTGAATTGACGAGTGCGCGGCAATTTGATCCTTATCATTAGAGAAAAATGGATTATTGCCTCTCGTTGGGAAAAGTGTGTACTCTCGTCCATTTGAGGAGTTTTTCTGTGAAAAAGGAAAACTTGTTGCCAATTTATTTATTTATTAAATCAATCACAAATGGTTGAACGTGTTGCAACAATCAGTTTTGTCCTCCCCTTATCGAATGTCAACAGAAACTTTGTAAGGACTCACACTCTCGAAAGTGACACACAAGAAACAACCCTTTGGTGACTTGACTTGTCTTCGCATGACTCGTAACTTTATTACAAAATTCCAGCACGCCATTATTATGGTCTTTGTGGGGTTTCGAGTCTATCCCCTTGAAAGTTCTGCACTGACGACTAGTCAGAGAGAAATGCAGCACTGTGACGTGCACGCAAAAAATGTAATTTCCTCCCTTTTACCTTAGGAAATCTTCCTCCGCACCTTTTGGAAATGTTGAAAGGCATTTTCCTCGCTTCATCCAATATCTTTAGTGCTCGAGAGAGCTTCGTGAAAATGAATAAGGCTGCAAATGACATTTTCTGTTTAATTAAATACACCAAGCTAATATGAAATGTCGGCGAATATCCACCAAAAGGAGAATCTTTTACATGCTTCGCTGATTGCGTGTACATTGGATTAATTTCAATGCAAAATATAACATGGTTTCTTCTTCCTTCCAGACTTCCGTGAGGAAGCTTTCATCTTGTATGTAATCACATGATGAGAGCTTTTTCCTTACATACTTTCTTAAGAGATTCTTGAGTTCATTATCTTGTGTCGACAAAGAAGTTCTCCTCAGACAGAAATAATAACACAAAGTATGAATTCGTTCCTCATATCAAAATACACAAACTTCGACTGTGTTAGATAAATATTATCTACACACTTTTATTGATCGATATCCAATTCTAAACTTTGTGTTTGAATACATTTGAAATCACAACAAATTTTTGAAGAATAACAGAGCTTCAAAATACATCATGTTCTCCAGTCATATTGCCATTCGTATGCTGTGCAAGAAACCCTTCTCAACCATAGCTTTTCAACACTCCAAAATGCAAATGCGACGACGTTTGGCATGAGGCAGAATGAAATCATTCTGACTGAATGGCAAAATGAAAGAAAAATCTCACAGACACTATAAATTTATGCAAATTTATGAAGACTTCGTGACATCGAGAGAGTGAGGCGCTCACCACCCCCCTTAAACTTTATCCTCTCCACCTGTGATACAATTTTGCGCGCATTCGAGCCACTCAGTTTTCACTTCGTTTCGCCACCCCGCAAAACACGCACTGCAGCCATGAATTATAGCCACAATATATTTTTGCCCAACTTTATGACTCGCCTTTTTACTACCCAAAACCGCCTCGCTTTACAATTTTCCACTAATAAGTTTCCCCTCAGCGACTGTTCGCAAAGCTCCCTTGAATTATTCTATAATGTACATCAGCCCAGCTTTCTCTCCCTTGTGAATAATTAAATGAACAAATGAGGGATAAATTCAGTGAGTTTTCCATTTGTGAGAGACTGAAAAATTCACAAATGCGTAAATTCAATTTCATGTTCAATATTACTAAAAAATCTCATATGCATATCTATGAGTTAATTATTCACAATAATCAATTTGCCAGGGAAAATTCAATTAACGGAGTAAATTTTATCACATCGCCAGCAATATTGTGAAACTTTTCCAATGAATATTAATCAATGTGCAGAGCAATATTGTCTCCTGACGTGAATCCTTAAGCATATTGCCGAGGAGGAGGAAAAAACAGGTAATTTCTCAAAGTGTACACACACCATGAGAGAAAAGGTGAAATGGAGCAATTTTTTAGCCTGAGGAGAACTTGTATTGTTCCATGTTTTACCATGTTAAGCCAATTATGTTCCATCATGACTAATGCTACATGGCATGTCTGATTAAAATCCCTCTAAGCCAATGTAATCCCTCTTTAATTAATTTGTTGTACTCTTTGGCATAATTTGTGTGACTTCCACCCTGTCCTCAGCTCTGAACTTTGTCAAGATTTGCGGTTTGCTCAAAGTTTTCAACTGTCACTCAGCATTTGAACTTGAAATGCGTGATTTTTGGCATGACATCCAACACGAAGATTATGAAGTCTTTCGTCAAGATTGACCAAGATTTTCATGAGCTTGTGACTCCAGGAGTTATTTTCACACATTAATATTCGCCTCTGCGGGATACCGAGTGTAAATATTGCATGAGATGACGGCAGGGGGTGAAAGTTAACTTTAAAGTAGGCCAATGAACTTGCGACGCTTGATAGATGCTTCCTCCTGTGGGACACCCACAGCTTCACATGATATTCTTCTTTCACTCCGAAAAGGGGTTAATAATGGCAGTTCCACACTCAGCATCACAGGGGTGAGACGCAGAAGATCAAAACTTCATTATTCACAGTGCATTTAAGCTTTAACGTATGCCATGAGCTTTCTCCTCTCACTTGAGAGACTTGCTGTAATCCTATTAGATGCGTCATACACTCCTCAACAGAAGTTTCCTGCACAGTTTTATTGAGGCTCTCTCCCTATTTTTATCATATTAATACTCTATGGAGTGTTTGCCTATCGACTTTGTTTGTCATACTCGAGATGAAAGTTGAGAGAGTGAGAGAGAGTTTCTGCATTGTGAAGTTGAAGGAACAATTGTCCTATGTGAATATTTCATCACTTTTGCATACATTTCTGTCCTCCTTTTTCCCTTTCTCGCCAGTCAAGAGAAATTTCCGCAGAGTTATTCAGACGAACATTTTCTGCAAATAATTCTTTCATGAGATAAAAGACGAATGCCTTTATTCATATTTCCCACTGTGCGGAGCATTATTGCCCGATTATATCATCGTGAAGAGGGCTTTCCAAGGAGCTTTCTTTTGCATATTTTCGTTCAATAAGTCAAAAGAATGATATTCCTCAGGTGAATTTCCATAAACTATTCATCAATTGATGGCTTTTCCACGATAGAGACTGAAATGTATCAATGTCATATGCAAACGTGAGCAAAATATTACAAGATAAAACATCAAGAAATATGTTTCTTAATGCAAATATTCAATTACAGCGCATATTATTTTAAAAACCACCTAATCATGAATTAATATCAAACATGCAATATATAAATTGCAAGCATTAAGTGCACAATAAAGTCATTAAGTGTAATGCGAGACAGTCATGAACTTAAGCTGTGTAGTTGTAATTTTAATTAGTTAGTTCAGCAGAAACAAACTCTTAAAGTCTCTCTAAACAATAAATTGGATGATATGATGGGTTTCGCGGCTGCACAGCACGCCGGAATGGTGTTGGAATTGAAAATGTCTGTGCTGAGCGACGACCGCAATCGATTTTGCATTATATTCCAGCGAATGGACACTCTCTAGGTGGAAACTCGCTGAGTGTTTCCGCAGAATTGCGATATGTGAAATAATACAATCCATCAGAGCGTTTTCATTCTGCCATATGTTTTGCATCGGCATTTCATCCCCTGCGTGTCGCTATTTTTCCAATTTCCCAAAGAGGGACACGAGTCAGTGCAGAATCCGTACCATAAAAATTCGATTTGATTTTCATGCGCTTCCCTTCACCATAAATATTCACCCTCTTCGTCCACACAAGCGTCTTCAGGGCAGTTTTCCCATCAGTGCGAAAGACGAGGAAATTCATACTTCTCAGTGCAACACAGGAGGACAATACTGGGTGTGGCACTGGAGGATAAACAGGACTTGGAGAATAGTGGAGGGATTACAAATGTGTGTAACACTTTTTTTCTCCATGCACGCCCGAAAGCTCCAATGCGGCAAAAAGGGTGGCGGATGCACATTGTTGAGCAAGCAAGTGATGCGTAAACAATACCATAAATTTTCCACACAAACACACTCTTGCACACTCTCCAAATTCCGCCTCTATCACACATGCGACAGAGCGGGAGAGGCTTGTGGCAAATCCTTAAATAAAAGGATAACGACAATATCTTACCCACACTGTAATACAATTTAAAGTCCAATCTCTTCCTCTTCTTCCACTCACTTTACGAGCCTCCATATGGGTGCATTATTTCTGTCTTCTTAGAGAAAGGAAGAGGATTCTCAAATGTTGGGCTGTGCACTAAGAAAATAGGAAAACTTGAGAGTCTCTCAACACCGCATTTAAATGCTCAGCAAGTACTTTTGGCTCCAAAAATTGTGTTTTCTCGCGTGGAAGATTCTTTGTTCACATTCATCAATTCAAATTCCAACGAAGTTTCATTCAGTCTGGCGACAAACGGTGGGTGCAGTTTGAGAAGCACTGCCTCGTGGCTTGAGAATCTGCTTCGCAGGGAGATGAATGGGTCCAGCGGGAGGTTCAGTGATAGAGCACAGACTATGGAGGGCGCATGGCGTATAAGTAGCCACACAATATTCCAAATTTGTTTTTTATTGCCCACATAAACACACGGCCATTCCTCTTGTGCAAAACTCGGGGTTGAGAGTGGAAAAATGTGCAAGAGCCCATCGCAATTCTCCCAATAACCCATGATTTGTACCAATTCT